ACAGAGCTCCATCTCAAAAAAAAAAAAAAAAAAAAAAAAAGATATCACCAGGGCTCCCTTGACTCCATCTTTATTTTCTTCCCTTTGTGTATCAGCCTTGCTGTTGCCTGTTGCAGATGGCTTCCTCCACCTGGCCTGGGAAAATGGCAAGCAGTTCCACTTTACACTGTCCTTACAGCTCATGATCTTAGAAGAAGTGAAGCCCCCTGTTTCCCAGTTTCCTTATATCAAACCTCAGAGAAGTCTTTGATTGGTTCTACTGGGCTTACATACCCGGTCCTAAGCCAGTCTCTGAGGACATGGGGATGGGTGGTCTGATTGGCCAGCTTGAATCCAAGTCCAGCAGGGTGGTGGTGGGGGAGGTACAGAGCACTGTGATTCAGAGCTTCATCTGGACCACAGGAAGTGGGGATGGGTGGGCACACAGGGGAGAGCATGCCAGGCAGGGAAAATGATAGCCATTTCTTTTAGAGCCTATAAGCCTTTCATATACTTCTGTTCCGGACCCCAGCTTCATTCCTTTGCTGCGCCCATCCATAGACTATGTGCACCCCATCTTCACATCCACTGTGTGTGTGAGATGAGGGTCTCGCTCTGTCACTCAGGTTGGAGTGCAGTGGCACAATCTCAGCTCACTGAAACCTCCACCCCCACCTCCCAGGCTCAAGCGATCCTCCCATCTCAGCCTCCCAAGTAGTTGGGACCACAGGCACACATCACTACATCTGGCTAAATTTTTGTACTTTCTGTAGAGACGGGGTTTCGCCATGTTGCCCAGGCTGGTCTTGAACTCTTGAGCTCAGGCGATCCACCCACCTCGGCCTCCCAAACTGCTGAGATTACAGGCTTGAGCCACCACACCCAGCCCATTGTGTTTTATTGTTGGTTTCCTGCTAGGCTTGAAGCTCTGGCAGTACAGCGGCGGTGTCTATCTCATTTACCACTAAGTCCCCAGGGTCTACAGGGCTGCAAGAATGAACGATAACAAGGATTGTATCCATATAACCAAAGACTTAAAACAAGGGAAGGTAAATCTAAGCAAGTGCCACTAGTATGATGAGGGCCGCAGTCCGGTCTGGGACACAAAGGAGAGAGTTGCAGTGCTGTCTGGGCAGGGGTCTGGGTCAGGAAACACAGAAGGTGGCCAGGCACAGTGGCTCATGCCTTTAATCCTAGCAGTTTGGGAGGCCAAAGTGGGTGGATCGTTTGAGCCCAGAAGTTTGGAACCAGCCTGGGCAACATGGCGAAACCCCATCTCTGCAAAACATACAAAAAATTTGCTGGGCGTGGTGGACTGCATGTGTAGTCCCAGCTACTCAGGAGACTGAGATGGGATGATCGCTTGGCCCTGGGAGGCCCAGGCTGCAGTGAGCCATGATCACACCATTGTACTCCAGCCTGGACGACAGAGTAAGACCCTGTCTCAAAAAAAAAAAAAAGAAAAAAGAAAAGAAAAGAGAAAGAAAGAGAAGGGAAGGAAGGCAAGCAAGGGAAGGCAGTGGAAGGCAGGGGCGGGCAGGCAGGCAGGCAGGCGGGCAGGCGGGCAGGCAATGTGGAGGAGACATTTCTGTTTCTTTCCTTTTTTTTTTTTCTCCTGCCCTGTGCTTAGATCTCCCCCTTTGTGTGTTTATGGAGCTCCTTACTATATAATCTTGGAAGAGCCTGCTTCCCACTCCGGAAGCCAAGAACTCCAGATACCAGCTTGCCCCTGCCCCCAGGCAGCTGGGCTCAGCCACCCACCACATCACTATGAAGTAAGTCAGGCAATACCTACTTTACAAAGTCACTTTGATGATTAAATGGAGTTTAAGAAGCACACAGCTCAGGCCTGGACATACACTGGACCCTTAATAGTTGTTGCTCCCTCCTCCACCCTGGGCAGTGGGTGGGAGGGAGAAGAGCACAGGATGGTCAGTGCCTGACTTTGACCCTTGGACTTGATTCTGCAGGCACTATAGGGGGAGGAGTTTAGAAGTCCTTTTTGTTTGTTTTGTTTTTTTTGTTTTATTTGTTTTTGAGATAGAGTCGGCCAGGTGCGTGGTCCACGCCTATAAATCCCAACACCTTTGGGAGGTGAGGCAGTGGATCACTGAGGTACAGGAGTTTTGAGACCAGGCCTGGCACCATGGTGAAACCCCAATTCTTACTAAAAATACAAAAAAGTACCTGAGGCATGGTGGTGAACATCTATAATCACCAGTAAACTTGGAGGACTGAGAGCGGGAGAATTGCTTGAACCACAGAGCGTGGAGGTTGCGTGAGCAATGGCACCACTGCACTCCAGCCTGGGTACGAGTGAAACTCCAGGCGGTGCGGGTTGGCTCACGCCTGTAATCCCAGACTTTGGGAGCCGGAGCGGTCACCCGCGGATCATGAGGTCAGGACGGATCGGACCTCCTGGCGAACAGTGAAACTCGTCTTACTAAATACAAAAAAATTAGCGGCGAGGGGCGGCACCTGTAGTCCCAGCTACTCAGGAGGCTGAGGCAGGAGAATGGCGTGAACCCGGGAGGCGGAGCTTGCAGTGAGCCAAAATCGTGCCACCGCACCCCAGCCTGGGCGTCTGAGCAAGACTCCGTCTCAAAAAAAGAAAAAACAGAGTGAAACTCCATCTCAAAAAAAAAAAAAAAGAGAGAGAGAGACAGAGTCTCCCTATGTTGCCCAGGCTGGTCTTGAACTCTCAGCTTCAAGTGATCCTCCTGCCTCAGCCTCCCAAGGATGACAGGCATGAGCCACCATGCCCAGCCAAGGTCCTTTTATCTGAAAATTGAATATGCTGTATTATAGTCATGAAAATGCACCACTTGGCCAGGCACAGTGGCTCACGCCTGTAATCCTAGAACTTTGGGAGGCCGAGGCGGGTGGATCACTTGAGGTCAGGAGTTCAAGACCAGTGTGGCCAAAATGGTGAAACCCCGTCTTTACTAAAAATACAAAAACGGCCGGGCACGGTGGCTCATGCCTGTAATCCCAGCACTTTGGGGGGCCGAGGCGGGCGGATCACGAGGTCAGGAGATCGAGACCATCCTGGCTAACACGGTGAAACCCCATCTCAAAAAAAAAAAAAGCAAAAAACTTTAGCTGGGCGTAGTGGAACGTGCCTGTAATCCCAGCTACTTGAGAGGCTAAGGCAGGAGAATTACTTGAATGCTGGAGTTGGAAGTTTCAGTGAGCCGAGATTGTGCCACTGCACTCCAGTTTGGTCAACAGAGCAAGACTCCGCCTCAAAAAACAAACAAATGAAAAAAAGAACTCAAGGAGCGCCAAGAATATGTCATTAGTTCCTGGTTTGAGAAACCATGATGGTCAGTAAGGGACACTGAAGTATTTTCAGTACAGAAGAAACAGGACCAGATTTTTTTTTTTTTTTGAGATGGAGTCTTGCTCTGTTACCCAGGCTGAAGTGCAATGGCACGATCTCGGCTCACCTCAACCTCCGCCTCACCTCAACCTCCGCCTCCCAGGTTCAAGTGATCCACCTGCCTAGGCCTCCCAAAGTGCAGGGATTGCAGGTGTGAGCCACCATGCCTAGCCCAGGACCATATTTTTAATCTGAAAGATCAGGCTAGGAGCAAGAGAATAATCTGGACCAGTCTGTGGCAGTGAGCTAGGCAAGAGTGGCATGGGGACAGGAGGGGGCAATGGATCTGGAACACATTTGGGAAGTAGAGTGGACAGGGCTTCCTGAGAGTTTTTGAGTGACAGAACTGAGGGTCAATTTTCTTTCTTCAAAGTCTAGCCCCGTGCTACTTAAGACAGTGGCCATTGGGCCCACAGGGCTATTTAAATTTAATTCATAACAGGCCGAGTGGTGTGATTCACACCTGTAATCCCAGCACTTCAGGAGGCTGAGGTGGGAGGATTATTTGAGGTCAGGAGTTCAAGACCAGTCTGGCCAATGCAGTGAAACTTTGTCTCCACTAAAAATACAAACATTAGGTGAGCATGGTGACGGATGCCTGTAATCCCAGCTACTTGGGAAGGGGAGGCAGGAGAATCGATTGAATCCAGGAGACGGAGGTTGCAGTGAGCCGAGATGGTGCCACTGCACTCTAGCCTGGGCAACAGAGTGAGTGAGACCCCATCTCAAACAATAAAATAAAAATAAATAAATAAATTTAACAACAGGCCAAGTGTTATGATTCACACCTGTAATCCCAGCACTTTGGAAGGCTGAGGCAAGATAATTGCTTAAGGCCAGGAGTTCAAGATCAGCCTGGGCAATATAGTGAGTCCCCATCTATGCAAAAAAACTGTTTAAAAATTAGCCAGGCATGGTGGTGCACAGGAGTCTCAGTTAGTCGCAGCTACTCAGGAGGCTGAGGTGGCAGGACTGCTTGAGCCCAGGAGTTCAAAGCTGCAGTAGCTATGATCGTGCCACTGCACTCCAGCCTGGGTGACAGAATGAGACCCTGTCTGATAAATAAGTAAATGAATGAGTGAATGAAGAAGTAAATAAATAATTTAATTAATAACAATTAACATAAAATTAAAAATTCAGTTCCACAGCCCCATGAGCCACCTTTCAAGCACTCAACAGCCATAGCTGGCTACAGGCCATACCATAGGGCAGTGCAACTACAGTTATGTACCACGTAATGATGTTTCAGTTGATGATGGACGGCATATACAAAAGTCTTCCCATAACATTATAATACTGTATTTTTACTGTATCTTTTCTATGTTTAGATACACAAATACTTGCCATTGTGTTACGATTGCCTACAGTATTCAGTGCAACGACATGCTTTACAGATTTGTAGCCTGGGAGCAATAGGCTACACCATATAGTCTAGGTGTGCAGTAGGCTACACCAGCTAGGTTTATGAAAACGCACTCCATGATGCTCACGGGGTGAAATCGCCTAATGATGCATTTCTCAGACAGCGTTCCTCATCAAGCGATGCACAAGTGTGGAACGTTTCCATCATTGTGGAAGTTCCATTGGATCACACTGGTCTATACTTTTCCCATTTCATTATACTGTTTCCCTTGCCCACTCCCAAATGATCAGACATGGAACCCTGTTCTCTAGAAGCTCGCAAACAACCAGGGAACCGAAGGTCTTTAATACAATGTAGAACTGTGTTGAGATACATTAGAAAGATGTGGAGAGCTCTCTGTGGGAGTTCAGAGGAGGAAACAAGAATTTCTGGGAGAAAGTAGCTTTAGTGAAACCTTGCAGATGACAGGAAAGAGAAGAGGGGTGTCGGGGGAGGCATGTGAACCTGCTGAAACAGGATCATTCCTTGCTTGCTTCCCCAGAAGAGAGGTTGTGACTGGCCACTTGCTTCTCAGCTGTCAGTCCCCCCCAAATTGATTTATTGATTCAATGTAATCCCAATCAAATCCTTTCAGTAGGGTGTGTGGGTGTGCGTGTGTCTATAAATTGTCAACTGTTAGTTGGCCTTTTAAGTTTATTTATTTGTTTATTTTTATTTTTTAAATTATTTTTTGAGATGGAGTCTTGCTCTGTCACCCAGGCTGGAGTGGAGTGGCACAATCTTGGCTCACTGCAACCTACGTCTCCTTGGTTCAAGCAATTCTCCTGTCTCAGCCTCCCGAGTAGCTGGGACTACACGCACACACCACCATGCCTGGCTAATTTGTGTATTTTTAGTAGAGATGGGGTTTTGTCATGTTGGCCAGGCTGGCCTTGAACTCCTGACCTCAGGTGATCCACCAGCCTCGGCCTCCCAAAGCTCTAGGATTGCAGACGTGAGCCACCGCGCCTGGCTGATTTGTTTATTTATTTGGTTTTAAAAACAGCGTCTTGCTGTCACCCAGCCTGGAGTGTAATGGCGTGATCACGGGTTACTGCAGTCTCAAATTCCTGGTCTCAAGTGACCCTCCCACCCCAACCTACCAAGCAGCTGAGACTACAGACACACATCACCACATGTGGCTAATTATTTTATTTTTCATAAAGATGGGGATCTCACTATATTGCCCAGGGCGGTCTTGAACTCCAGGGCTCAAGTGATCCTCCTGCCTCAGCCTCCCAAAGCATTGGGATTACAGTCATGAACCACTGTGTCCAGCCTGGTTCTAAAATTTATATGGAAATGCAGGCTGGGCACGGTGGCTCACACCTGTAATCCCAGCACTTTGGGAGGCCGAGGCGGGCAGATCACAAAGTCAGTAGACTGAGATCATCCTGGCTAACATGGTGAAACCCCGTCTCTACTAAAAATACAAAAAATTAGCCGGGTGTGGTTGCAGGCGCCTGTAGTCCCAGCTACTCTTTGTTTACCGGAGGCTCTGGAGTGCAGGAAGAATGCGTGTGAACCCAGGAGGCGGAGCTTTGCCAGTGAGCCAAGATCCCCACTGCAACTGCCAGCCTGGGCGACACGAGCAAGACGCTCACTCTCAAAAAAAAAAATTATATGCGAAATGAAAAGATCTAGACTAGCTCATCGGGCACGTAATTGCAAGAAGAGAACAACAAGCTGGAGGACCTATATCTACTAGAGTTTGAAACTGCTAAAAAATCTACAGCAATAAGACCACGTGGTTCTTCAGTGCAAGGTGGAAAACAGACACAGACTAGTACATAGGGTTCCAGAAACAGACCCTCATATATTAATAATGATGGCCCACCAGCTTTAACGCAATGGTAACACTACAAGTTGCAGTGGGAAGTGGTGGTTCTGGTTTGTAATAAATGGTCTCAGAAACTTTAATCGCTGTGGTGTGTGTGTGTATATATAACTGTGTGTGTTTATATATATAGTGTTATATACTATGACTATTATATAAATAAAAGACCGGCCGGGACGCAGTGGCTCAAGCCTGTAATCAGCATCTTTAGGAGGCGAGACGCGGCGGATCACGAGGTCAGGAGATCGAGACATCCTGGCTACACACGTGAACTCATCTCTTAATAACAAATAACAAAAAACTAGGCAGAGCGAGTGCGGAGCGCGCTGTAGTCCCAGCTACTTCGTGGAGGCTGAGGCGCGAGAATGGCGTGAACCCGGGAGGCGCCCGGAGCCTTGCAGTGAGGCTGAGATCCGGCCACATGCTCTCGC